TCGCTAAAATATGCTCCAGTGCCATGTCAAGGACCTAAAAAGGCCTCATTTCTTCCAATAGTGGTGAAATTGCTGACTTTGGCGGATATTTTGTCATTACAATTGTTAACAAATCCGTGCCTTCCAGAACCGACATAAAAAGTCGCGCATTAAAGTTTAATCGCCGTAAATTGTTTGGTGAGACCACTTTTTGGTCTCATCAAACTATTCTAATCCGAGTTTTAAGTAGCAACATGATTAAACACTTGACTGAACTTCACTAAAACTGAAGGTCATCTTCATTTGCGTTATATTTCAATTTGCCGCTGTGCGATCTGTCTTATTAGTCGATACCTGGTGATAATGATGCCGTGGTCTCCCACCTGGGATAAAATACTGAAAACCACTTTTTCTGTCTAGCGAACAATCAATAGCACGCGTCCGGCTAAGAGACTGCCACCATTCTGGTAAGTTAGAACGGTCAAGAAGCTAGCGCTACCGTAGTGTATCAACAACAGTTGGTATCATGAATTGTCTAGTAAAACCAGCAGGGAAAATCGTATTATACTATTACGGAACGCGTTCAAGCACTCGGAAGCGAACGAGCACTCTGGGGGTACAACAGGATACTAACTTCAAAATATGAGGCGATTGCTGCTGTTCGACTGGAATCGCCCTTCGACGTGTTTTACTACCCGTGCCTCGTGCCTCCTCGGCATATCTTGATCAGTTGTCATTCTCAATTTCTCCACCATGACCCCAAGCACGAACAACTCCCTCTTTTCGACCAAGAACCTTTTCGTCGCGGCACTAACAGCATCGGTTGCTTGCAGAGTCCACGCGGCGGAAGGCAACAACTCCACCTCGGTCGACCATGCCACGTTTGGTGACATTACATCCGGCAGTGGCAAGTGCGTCACTGGCAACCCCAATAAGGGCGGAGTCACCCGCGATCAGGTGGACTGGGTCTGGGAGAACACCATGTCCAAGTACGTGCCCCAGTTCAATAACCTCATCTTCGACCAGCTCGTGACCAACAAGGGTAAGCTCAACTACTGCGTGCGCTGGGACAACGATTTGCCTTTGACCAAGGCCACGGCATCTAAGTTCCAGGCGATGCTCGAGAAGCAGATCAACCTTTGGAACCACTGGCTCGTAGGCTATGGATGTTGGCCGTACGACCATATCGACATTGATATTGTGGGATACGCTGTGAAAGACAAGTCCATCATGGACTGGAGCGACGACTCGCTTGGTACGATCTACGAGGGTCTTTTGGACGCTGAGGGCAGTCCCAAATGCCCTGATGAATGCTACAAGCACCAGAATCAAGCTGCCAGTGCCGATACGAGTGGCTGTAAGGGCAACCCCTTCGACATGTCGCTCTGGTCGTCGACCATACCGGGGGAAAACGCCGCTGGCACGGGCGGTGACTGGGGTCAGCGTGTCCAAGTGAACGACATGCTCAACACCATGGACCAGGAGCAGATGAGGGTACTGCTTCACGAGATTGGCCATGGTTTCGGTTTGCCGGAGATGTACCTGAATGAGAACAAGCCTTCGGATTACCCTGTCTGCGTCATGGATGGAGAATTCTCGCTCACAGACGGCGATGGCTGGCTGCTTCGT